AAAAAAAAAAAAAAAAGGTTGTTTGCATGACTCCAAACCCATTGAATTATGCGTCAAAGTGGATGCATTTTTTTTGCGCTGCATTTTAGCTCAAGGCCAGCCTGAACTGGACAAAAAAAAAAAAAAAAAAAAAAAAAAAAAAAAAAAAAAAAAAAAAAAAAAAGTGCGTTTGTAGTATAGGCTTAATGAAAGGGAAGACAGCACCCTATTCCTTCCCAACAATCTCTGATGTCATCTACAAAACCACCCCCCCAAAAAAAATCCCGAACACTGGAGCTCTCGGACTTCTTTCGGTGTTGCTGAGGAAATGGGAAAAGCACATTTTCTTTCCTTTTTCCTTTTCTAATTTGCCTTTGCGCTCTTGACCCAAGAAAGTGTATCTGATTACACAGCCGTGAGGATAATAAACCTAAATTGATGACTGACATTCAAACAGGCAGAACAATAATATTTCACCACTGAAAGCTGGGCCGTTAGATTTCTAAGGACTCTCTTCACAAGTGAGCTTCATAAATAACCAGGACGCTGAGGATTTAATTATGAAATCAGAACGCTTGATTCACAGCCCTCTTCTCAGAACCAAACACCTCCTCATTCGTAGGCTCGAAGCCTCAGGAAGCGCAATCACAGGCACTTACCTTGTTTATGTCCCAGTCCCCCTGCAACTTCTCCTCTGCGGCGGAGTCCTGAGTGGGCCCCAGCACATCAGAAGTGGCCCGAGGCTCTCCATGTGGCGAAGCGGACTTCTCTTGCTTTTCCGCTGAACATTTTGATTTGAGAAGGCTGTTGAGGCAGTTTTCAGTCTCCTGCTTTGCAAGAGCAATCCTGTTTTCCAAATCTTTTTGTTTGTGCTTAAGTGATTTTATATCATCTTTAATAATCTTCTGTCCCACTGAAGATGTGTTTGGCTTGATGGATTTTGCTAACGCTAAAATCTTCTTTAAGGTGCCGTCTTGTAAACTGAGTCTACTCTCTAGTTCCTATGAGTGGAAAAAAGATTGTTACAGATAGTATTCCCATTCAATCGTCAAAAGAGTTCATTGACTTTTGTAAATCACACAGTATTCTGCTTCACTAGTGGAAACACATTAGAAGACTTTATCAATCCCTAACACAAAGAAAAAACTCTGGATAAAATTTAAACCAATGCACACTACACATCAAATTTTCAAACAGATCTCAGCAGAGACACAGAAAATGTTAACAGCACAGTTCTTAAAACATGGGAAGTAGTCAGCAGATAGCTGTGAACCATTTTGTACCAGATATAGCCTTTTATAAATCAGAACACTCTTTATAAGTAAGTGCTTGCTATAGTAGTAAAAAAATAAAAGAATCATTTAGAATGTGCCATACAAATCCAATGCTAACATTTACACTTCAGAGCACAGCTTTGTGGGTAATGAGAAGTCAGTCTGGTACAGAACCTCAAATACAGTAGGAATTCAGGCACTGTACCCTAGCTGAATGCGTGAGTAGGGCTAATCTGAAAACTCTAGACACAAAAGGAACTCAAGGGTGACAGCCCTGTCTCAACAGCTGCAACGGAAGCTGGGCATGGGGGCACACACCTGTAATCCCAGTACTCGAGAGGCTGAGGCAGGAGGATTATTGTGAGTTCGAGACCAGCCTGGGCTACAAAGTGAGTTCAAGGCCAGCCTGAACTGCATAGTGAGACCCTGTCTCAAAAAGACAGCCACAAAAACAAAATAACAACAACAACAAAAACAGTTGAAATGGAATAAGCCTTAGTTACCATGTGGCCTCTAAAATTTAATAGTCACTAGCCTAACGGGCAATAAATATTCATGCGTTTATTCAGTCACTCATTCAACAGCCAAGTGCTGACAGGTTGTGAAGCTGTACGGTATAAATGAGTAAAACACAATCCCTTCAAGCTCCACAGTCTAGTGATACAGAAATACACATTCATCAACAGTCACAGTGGGATGTGAAAAGATTCACACTAATAAATAGGCACAGGTCACTGAAACATTTTAAGGTAGAAAATAATAGCTCCCTTTTAGGAAGATCCAGAGCCACGATGGGAAATATGCAGCAGAGAGAGTGACAATACAGACAGGGAGCCCATTCAGAAACCTAATACAGGGATACATGAGGTGAGGGCTGGTTCTTAAGCAGTAATAATGGGCTGATGAGGGAGGGACAGCATCATCTTGTATCTGCCTAGATTGGGGAGCTCAAGCAAGGACACCAAACTTCTGAGCCGGAAGCTTGAAGAAATGATAAAGATACTCATGACTTCAAAATACAGGGGTGAGTGGATCCTTGGGAATCCTGGCACAGGAAGTCAGGGGACAGAGAAAATGTGGTGTTTTATTTATTATTTAGCCACAAGGAACTGCAAATAATTGTGACATTTAAGGAGAGATGTCACTGGAGAGAGAAAAAGCCCTCACAAGTGAGGCCAGCGCTCAGGGGTAAGCACTCGCTGTCCTTTGCCCTGTGTGACCTTGGTCAGGGCTGTGACCTGCGGCCCCTTTCCAGCTACAGCAGAGGGCTGTGTCCTAACTCGTCAACAGGAGCCTGCGCTTCTCCAGACGCAGGCCGGGTCTTACGCCTTTCCCAGCACCCGGGACACAAGGAGCCCTCAACACTCGCCACATTATCACCGCCAGACAGGGTGGCGCCCAGTGGCAAGGTGCAGCTACGCTAGAGAAGTCCGCTAATGCCCACGTCTCTCACAGAGAGAGAGAGAGCCCCTGCGCTGCACCATGGAGGTCAGCCCCAGGCTCCCCAGAGAAGGAACTGGGAAGGGAGGAGCGGAGAGCACTCCACACTCTGTCTTTGGACAGAGGACACCGCTCCGGCCTGCCACGCTGGCCACATGAACAGGGAGAACGCAAGAACGTGTCCCGAGGACACAGCTGAAGGCTACACTTGTCATCGGCGCAGAGGGGGGCGTGAGGGTCTTACAGACCCCTCCTTTGGGAGACGTAATCTAGCCCAGGAGAGTGAGCGCTAATAAGGTACAAATTAGACAACCTCTCCCCAGCCACCATGAAGAACATTACACTGAGGCCTTGCTAGGCTCCATGCATCCTCTGACCCCTTGTGTCCCCTGGAATGGCCCTGTTTTCTCTGGAGGAGAGACATCCGAACCTACAGACAAGTCACGGGGAGAATCATCGCCAAGAAACACCCACCGTGCCCGAGTACTGCCCAACTCAAGCTACAGGCGCACCTGGCCACTAAAGAAAAAAGTGTCCCGTTAATGAACATTTAGAGCTTTAATTACCCGAGTCATCTGAGTAACACTTGAATTTCTGACCAAACACAGTGATTGGTCAAGTTGTAATGAGCACTGATGTTTTAAAAGATCTAGTTAGTGTGTCTGGATATTGTTTAATACCTGCAGTTTCTGCAATCTGTCCTCAATGGCTGCCTGATCCATAGATGTATCAGAAAAACTGGCGACGTCCTTAGAGAAACCGTCCAGCGCGGTATTCAAGTCTGTGACGCAAAGCTGGTAGGAGTGGTGTTCTTGAACATGACCCTCCAACGTCTGCACAGAATCCTGAAAATAAAACCACTGACATCTCACAAACAGTTGCTCTCTTGAATTTTCACGTACGCTTACAACTCATAATGACACAATTCCTAAGGGCTCAGTTTATAAGGGTTCATCTCGAAACAAGAGTATCCCCACAGTTTATCCAGAATTCTTAACTACAGAACTTAGCATCTAAGATCTTTCACCGCAAAATCTCCATCCCTCCCAAAAATGACTCTTGTTAAAAACAATCGTTCCTCCCGTGCTCTTACCTTCATTTCCTTCTGAAAGAAAATACATTTGTCAAGAGGTTTTCAAAACGAAATGACTACAAATTATATCATTAAATCACAAACATCCATAATAAACCAGGTCCCTTAATTATCAGTGGCTTTAAAATCAAGAATTCATGCTTGCAAATGAGACTGGATGAGATCAACCTAACCCCAGTTCCCTTTCCTAGGAACTGAACTCAAGTGTGGTGTGTTAGGAAAGAAATAAGCCTAACTCAAAAGCAAAACCATCTCTAGGTTCCTGCGCTGGGATAAGGAAATAAGACGACTACACCTGAACAGAAACGCAGCAGCCTTTAAAGGCTGGTACACAGCCCAGCGAGTGCATCTTCAGCCCCGCTCAGCGTGCAGTATCTGGACACCCGGGACTCTTCACCCTGGCAGTCTTTACACTGAACCTGGCTTTCAGTGTGAAAATCATCATAAATATTTCTAATGAAAGAATTTACCCTCTCACCACAAGCTTTTGCCTCAGCGCTTTGACTGCAGCTCAGGTGGCAAGATTCAAGGGAAGGGCCCTGAGGAGAAGGTAAATGACATACGCGATGCAGGGGGCGGGTGGGTGGACGGATGGACAGACGGACAGACAATACTGATACGGCCATCTTCACCCAGCTGCCTTAAGAATCCTAAAGCATTCAACCCTGAGGAAGGAACTTTAATGTAGGAGACAATGCTGTCACCAAATAACACACAATGGACTCCTTGAGCCAAACGGCCTGGATTGATCCCTCCAGCCTTGAGAGCCTGCGTTTTCATGCAAAAATTCTAAATGTTGAACGCTTTTGGTTTATCCTTCGAACAACAGCCAAAAAGGGGTTCTATACACACATCTCGCATTGTAACGGCAGCATTTAAAACCCTGCTGGTCCCCGTCACCTGGAGTTGCTGAAGAAGACTTTCATGAAGATGTTTGATTTCCAGCCAGGGCTCTTCACTAAAGCTGGGATTTTTGGTGCATTCCAACAGGTAGTTTCCCTGAGACTTTAACTCCTTTAGCAAGGACGTCAAATCTTGGGCTTTCTGGAGGAATTTCTTATAAATTTTTAACTGGGCTTTCTTTTCCTGCAGGCCATGTTGCAAGGCGAAGCCGGCTTCCTGCTTCTTCCTCAGCTCTATGAGCATTAATCTCAGGTCCTCTTTACTCTGCAAGTACTTTTCTCCTTCTTGCAGAAGCTTTTCTTGATGGCTGAATTTCACCAAAGAGTTTATAAATGAAATGACAGCAAAGAAGAGGGCATTTTGCGTATCGTAATGCAGCACACATTGTAATAAGTAGCACTAACATAGTACTAATATATACATTTTCTCCAGAGTCATGCGGCACTATAACTTTTTTTCTTTTTTTTTTTTTGAGACAGGCTCTTGCTATGCAGTTCAGGCTGGCCTTGAGCTCACTTTGTAGCCCAGCCTGTTCTTGAACTCTGCAACGATCCTCCTGCCTCAGCCTCCCGAGTGCTGGAATTACAGACATGCGCCACCACGCCCGGCGGCACTATAACTTTTTAACAGCACATTTAGCTCAGACAGCAAGACAGAAACTGAGTATTACTACCAGATGACACTTTTTGTTATACAGTTTGGCCAAAGAATGCTTAATAATTTAGATTTCATTATTTTTAAATATAAAAACTTATAGTTTTACTTTTTCATAAAAGCAAAGCATTCTGTATGTTCAGTAACTGATTTATGATTTGTATCACTGAAATTTGTTGTGATCTTCTTATCTCCTTGAGATTCCTATTTCAAGACATAGAGTGTACCACTTAATAAACACGTCCGCAGGATTCGGCCAACGCTTATCCACGCTCACTCATTTCAAACCCAGGCCGCAGACAAAACACACTAGTTATGGCGTCGCCGGGCAACAGGAAAGAGCGAGGGTGGCGCAAGCCGCCCCTTACCTCAGGTACGTGCGGGCCAAGTGCAGCGTGCTGTCCCACTGCCCGCGGATGTCGGCCACCATCTCCTGACCCTGCCCTGCCGCGGCCTCGCAGCCCTGGGCCTGTCTCACGATAGCCTGTATTCTGGCGTCCCCTTCGGGCTTGAGTAAAATGATTTCCTGAAATAAAGAAAAAGACCTTCGCATCTTATCTGCATTACTTAGGGATACTGCCTATGGTATCTTTTCATTTGTAAACTTTATATTGATATTCCAACTGCAGAGTGTATGTCAAAAAAACCCTTGCATTCCCTTTTTTTTTTGGTCTTTTTGGGACAGGGTCTCGCCATGCAGTTCAGGCTGGCCTTGAGCTCACTTTGTGTCCGCGGCTCGTCTCAAACTCACAACGATCCTCCTGCCTCAGCCTCCCGTGTTGGGATTACAGGCATGCGCCACCATGCCTGGCTAAGAACCCTTTCAGGCCTGCATAGGCCCCAAAGACAAGGATCTCCCCGCTTCGTACTACACAGGGTTGCTTCTTAGTAAACACTTGTCAGTGGAAGCTGCCTGCTTTCCTGCTCACTTCTGTTCTGTTCTGTTTTTGATACGACGGTCTTCCTATTTAGTCCAGGTTGGCCTCAAACTCAAGACCCTCCTTCCTCAGCCTCACAGGGGTTAATTATTACAGGTGTGTACTGCCACACCGGGCTTCCTGCTTACCTCTTTTCTTCAACTACCTTCTTCTTTTCAACACACCAAAAACACCAGAAAAACCCTCCTTACTATCCACTTCTATCAGAACTTACAGTAACAACCTACACAAGACATTTTTGTACATCAAAGAACAGACTACGGCTTCCCAGAGGAAAACAGCAATCTTTATGCAGCCCTTGTCTCTCTATCCTCCACGAAACTAATTTTTGTTCCCCATTCTCTTTCCCTCCTCTATTAAGTTCTTCCTGTGCTGGAAAAACAACTCACGGTTCACTTTCTCTCGGAAAATGTTTAGACATAATCCCAAATGAGCCTGATAACTTCAGTAGGTCATCAGTTCTTCTAGCTCACTGTCCTTGATCACATCTATCCGTCCTCCCTCCCTCACTCCCTTCCTTCCATATGTGATTTCAACAGGCACATGTGCTTCTGTCCCCTGTATTTCTCACGGGCAATGTTTAGCAATGCTCCACTTGGACAGAAGAGGGCGCCCGGGAGCACGAGGCATCTCCAGGCTCTATACCCACCCCGTAGCTAGTGAACATTCTCATCCCCTCCAAAGAAGGTTCTTCTCCGCTCTTGACCTGGACGGTACCTACATCCCTAGCAAATCCCCATCTGCTATGGCTCTGATCCACAGTCTTTATTTCAATCTTTTTCCTGCAATGAAGATGGACAATAACTGGGTGCTGCCCTCTCAAAGAGAAGATAAACTCTCTTTTGTGTGCATTAAAATAATTTCAGACCCATCACAACCCATCTCCTCTTCTGTGAGTTTTGCAATTTGAATTTCTTTAGCCATCCCACAGCAATTCTACTCTCCATTAAGAAACAAATCTTTGCAGCTTTGTGGTAAATCTTTTCAGAGTTAGAGTTCACTCTGACCTCTCAAATTTACTCTCTGGTTATACCTTTATTTTTTGGATTCTTTCCTCAAGTGGCATTTTGCCTTCAGATGAGTTCAGAGCCATAAGCGACTCTTTAGTCTCCTTTATCCAATGAATCACATCGTGTGCAAGGTCGTCAAAGCTCTGGCCCTCCGCAGAGGGCAACTTCTGCTCTTCCTCGAGTCCACTCAAGTGTGTCAGCAATGTCTGGTATCTATCCAGCAAATGTGTTGATTCCATTATTATCTCTTCTTCCTCAGTAAGTCCATGTTCCTTCAAAAAGCTGCACAAGTGGGCCACGGATTCAAACTGTTCCCTGTAAATTCCAAATAGCATTGAAAAAAGTTTATAGGAGCCGCTAGTATCTAAAGAAAGAAATCATATTCCTGAGGAATACCTCCCCCACAAGAGACGCTACCTCTTTCTAGCTAGAGCTTGGCAAAACAGCTCAGCCTTCTCTGCTGATTCTTCTGTTTCTTTCCATCTCTCTTCCTGATTAATCAACCACTCGCTCAGGTTCCTGCAGTCATCCTCCAGGCTGAAAGATCGGTACACAGCTGAGAACATAAAATTGGCATCGGGCCCGGGATACATCTCAGCGGCATGAGCGCCTGCCTGGCAAGCGCAAGGTCCTGAGTTTGATTCCCGACACAAAAATAAATAAATAAATAAAATTGGCATCATCTTTATACTGAAGAGAAGAATGACAGGAGCCATGGGAATAAACCAGGTTTTTATCCTCCGTGTATAATTTTTTAAAGAAAACTTAACTTGTAACATAAAAATCTGAATAATAATTGTCCCTGTTACAGTAGAATATATTAAAACAATGAACAGTACAAATATATCACAAAGAATAGGAAACAAACAAAATATTTTTTGACTGTCTCCTGACTCTTTGCCATATTAGGTCAGATTTCCCTGAACTTTTTTATATTCCTAGCATCAAACCTAGATTTAAAAGTACTGTCAGAAGCCAGGCTTGGTGGCCCACACCTGTAATCTCAGCACTCGGCAGGCTGAAGCAAGAGGATTGATGCAAGTCTGAGGGCAGACTGGGCTACAAAGTGAGTTCAAGGCCAGCCTGAGCTGTACAGTGAAACCCCTGTCTCAAAAAAGACACAAAAAGCCGGGCGTGGTGGTGCACGCCTGTAATCCCAGAACTCGGGAGGCTGAGGCAGGGGGATCACTGTGATTTCGAGGCACTGCCTGGGCTACAAAGTGAGTTCAAGGCCAGCCTGAGCTGCATAGTGAAACCCTGTCTCAAAAAGGCCAAAAAAAAAAAAAAGACACAAAAAGTACTATTAGGCTGAGCATAGTGGTGCACACCTATAATCCCAGCACTTGAGAGGCTGAGGCAGGAGGATTGCTGCAAATTCAAGGCCACTCTGGACCACACACTGAGTCTCAAAAAAAAGATGGTCAGGGGTTTGTGGTATAGCTTAGAGGTAGTGCACTTGCCTAGCTCACAAGGGGCCCTGGGTTCAATGCCCAACACCAAAAAAAAAAAAAAATTACACTCATGCGCTTCATATTGATGGGTTGAAACCACCACAAAGCAAAAATAGCTGGAAAAAAGTTGCCTTCACTGAACACATACGCATTTTTTTCCCTGAACCACCAGTATAATGACTATTTACTGCATTTGCATTATGGTTTCAAGTACACAGGAGCACAGGCATAGGCACAAGCAGTGCAGGCACAATGCACTTCACAGAGGATGCGGCATTCGTGGGGGTTCTTAGGACCAGCCCCCCAGTGACAAGGAACGATTACCCACTTTACGGTGAAATTGCATACATGTTCTGCCCCGGCGAACACGGCACGGAGGAAGAGCACTGGGAATGACAGCGAACGATCCCTGAAGACATGAGAGGGACGCCGGCTCGGGGCCCTACCTCCGCAGCTGCTGCAGGCGCTGACCCAGCTCCTGCGCTCGGGCCTGGCACGCGGACTCCAGCGTCTCCAACTCAGACGCCCGCCTCCCGAGCCAGCTGCCGAGTTCCCTCACGTGCACTTTGGGCAGGTGCTTCTTCACGTGCTGCAGCGCCGTCTCCACCTGCTGTATTTTCCCGCTTCTTCCTTCAAGATTCAGGAACTCCTTCAGACAGACGGGAAGGGAGTCACGGTCCGCCCGCAAGTCCCAACCGAGTCTCTGCCGCCCCTGCCCTTTCCAAGCCAGTGTGCAGACTGCTCAGAGCCATTCCCAGCACCCTGCACAGAGGCACCGTGAGGGCGCGGCTGACTTGAAGGCAGGGGAACTGCGCCAGTGCCCAAGAGGGGGCGGGTTTGCACTGGCCTGAACATTCCTGAGAACGTCGAGCAAAATAATGCGGTGCCGCCATGATGGTCTCTAGGAGTGAGATAGGAAGCTACGGTTTCCTAGCCCGGCTCTGCACAGCTAAAGACATGCTCCTTTTGGGCGGATTAATATATAAAACTAAACAGTCTTCATTTAAATTTGCCCAAACCAGACCTTTCCAGGTCTGAGTATCAAGTGCTGAGGCAGGGGGAAGGGAAGCTTTTAAAAGCAGAAGAAAGGTGAGTCTATCCATACGTAACAACAGCACGGAACAATAAACTAACAGATCACCTTAAACCCTGACTGATCATCCCAACAAAGCTGGGGCACACCTGTGGTCACAACTCTGCGAGGCTGAGGCGGGAGGTTCGCTTGAGCCCTGCAACTTAAAGCCAGGTTGGGCATAAGTGAGAGCCCACCTCAAACGAACACACAAAAGCATTACCTACAGCACGCGGGAATCCACCCTCGGGATGGTGAGGTAAGGATGCCGAAGGCGACGAGCATGCTCTCACGCACTCGCTCACCTTCCACGTCAGTCACACTCTGACCGGCAAGGTATTAAATTGCTACTAAATTTTTTAAAAGAAATATGACTGGGAAAAACACTTCTAAGAAGTCAGGAGATCTTTTTCAAGAAAGTAAAAGGATTTTCAAGTCCAAATTAGGCAGGTATGGTGGTGCATGCCTATAATTCTAGCACTCAAGAGACTGAGGCAGGAGGATTGCTGTGAGTTCAAGGCTGCCCTGAACTACATAGCAAGACCCTGTCTCAGGGAAGGAACGAACGAAGGAAGGAAGGAAGGGAAGAAGGGAGGGAGGGAGGGAGGGAAGGAGGGACAGAGGGAGGGACAGAAGAAGAAGAAAGAAAGAAAAAGTCCAAATTAGGTGAAGACTTTATTTCCTATCAAATATAATTTTAACATAACCGAATTCACTAAAAAGCACCTCAGCACAAGCATGAAAGCAGGATTTGCTTACCCCACTTCACACTGACCTAGCAAAGGCAATTTCGAGATATTTGGGAAAAAGCCAGGTTACTGGGACTACTGTCCCTTATGTAATAAAGTTAGTAAATCAGAGAAATTATTACCCTTTCGACTTAAACAGAGCTCTGTACTGCCCATACTTGTTTCGCTATTTTCTATTAAAATATACATATCTTACAGAAAGTTTCTGTAGCTTTTGCTGCACACCCTTTTTTGTTTCTGCTGATTCAAAACACTCCTTTAGGTTCATTTCAACATTGCCGAACCAGTCATTAAAGCTCTTGCATTGATCTGCAGGAGGGGAGAAAAAAGAAGCTCTGTGTGTTCAGGCAAGACTTCAAACCTTTGTTACGAGGAGATGCTGGGATCTGTTTCTCACGCCTTTAGGTACACAGTGGTACCTTCCGAAGCCCGCCTAGGAAGTAACTGGTGGGCTTTCTACCCCGAATGTCCCTCCCGAGCACATAGGACACCCAAAGACCCTCACGAGGACCGTGGCCTCCTTGCATATCCCAGGTCTCACTGAGTTCAAGGGGCGGAACGCGACCATGGTGACAGACCTTCGTGAAATGAAGACTGTGGGGCCTGCCATAAACAGACGTTCCCTGGGCCCAGCATTAAGGAGCAAGAGCTTTCCTAAAATGGATGTATGTGTCATCCTTAACACAGCATCCACGCGCGGCAGGCTGGGTCAGCTCTGCAGTCACTGCACTGCACCCACACTTCCAGACTCCCAGCAGTATGTAACAGAGGCGTCACACTCACCATTCAATAATGTCGAAAAGTGATCTTGCAAAACACTCTTTTTGGTGTTAAATAAATCACTAACGCTTTCATACTGCTTTTTCAATTCAGCAAGTTCAGGAGTGAGACAACCTATTTGATTTTCAAGTATTATCATGCTGTGCTTCTGCTGCAGAATTTGCTGTTGTATCTCCTACATATATAAACAAACAACTACCATTAGTTTTGGGGGGATTCCGGTGGGGGAGATAGTGCTTGGGAAGGAAGCCACGGCTTCCTGAGTGCTAGACAAGTGCTCTAGCACTGAGCTATGTCCCCCTCACACCCCGCTAAGTCTTAAAACAGGCTCAATTCACACAAACCAGATGAGCTCTCATTTTGTGAAAGTGTAGATTGGCAACTGGACTTGCTTTGTCTTTCCTAGTAAATGTATCATACAATGCAATTTAATATCAAAAAATCACTCTGCATGAAGCAACTCACAGGTGAACATCTGAAAAATACACCAACTGGTTTTCTGAGGTTTACACCCGGGGCTTTCGCTTTTCTGTTGTACTGACTATGAAAAGGCCAAGACACTGAAGTCCGAGCACTGGAAGACAAACAGCAGGACAGCACCTCGAGCTTGGTGAAGATCTCCAAGCTGTCCGAAGGGGACAGCGCTTTCAGGAGGGACTCGGTCACCCCGATCTGGGTCTTGGCTTGATCCAGATCCTCCCTCAGCTCAGCCTGGCTCCCGCCGAGCGCACAGCTGTTGGCTTCTCCGGTTACACGCTTCTTCACGTGTTCCATCTTATTCCAAACCGACGACTCCATGACCTGAATCACAGAACATATGAAGCACTGTCCTTCAGCTACATGTCAAGACAGCTGCGTCACTAAAAAGTAAATCATGACTGCCTCTATTCAAGGTGAAATAAATCCTGCTCTACACCACTGATACAACAGTTACAAGGCTGCCATTCCGATACGGAACAGACTGAAGGTGACACTGGGACTTTTTGCTAAGATACTAATCGGAATCCTTCTCCCCAAACAAGTTTTATCTAACATATCAACGGAACTGATGCCTCCCGGTGCTAAGGCAAAACACATAGAAAAATGAAGAGATGAGATTATAATGTACAGAAAAAAATAGCACAGATTATTTTTTTTTAAGGAGGAGGCACTTCATGTACAAAATACAGGCTTAAGGGGGTTACGTGGCTTGCCCAAGACCACGAAGTTGGTCAGCCACGAGGTCACCCGGAAGTCCACCTCCACAGCTCATTCTCAGCCACGCTGCACCTTGTTCCGGATAAAACTGAGACAGATCTCCTCACACAACCAAAAAGCACTCCTGGGGCCACGCCCCTCTTCTTCCACCTAGCCGCTAATACACCCACGATCATCTGGGCCACATTCTCCTTCCTACATTCAAGACACTCTTAGGAAACCACTGCTGCTTTACATGGAAGCACAGCCCTGTGACCCCTTCTAAGCTATAAAAAGTGAAAGGAGAAAAAAAGAAAGCAAAATTGTAATACTGCTCACGCTAAATAGGGAACAAATATAATTATCAACACCAACTACTAAAAATGTGGTTGGACTTAATACAGGAATCAAATAAATAATGAACCTAATTTCATATTGAAGGCTTTGAATGTCTGGTTTATGAATACTACCTGAGAAGCTGTAGAAAAAAAATTTTTTTTTTTTTTTTTTTTTTGGTTTTTCTCCGGTACCGGGAACCGAACTCACGACCTTGCGCTTGCCAGGCAGGCGCTTTTGCCACTGAGCTAAATCCCCAGCCCCCTGTAGAAAAATTTTTAATTGGAATTTGAAATAAAGACTGTTATCTAGCCAGGTGTGGTGGTACACACCTATAATCCCAGCACTCAGGAGGCTGAGGCAGAAGGATCACCACAAGTTCAAGGCTGGTTTGAGCTACACAGTTCAAAGCTAGCCTGAACTACATAGCGAGACCCTGCCTCAAAAAAAAAAAAAAAAAAAAAAAAAATTCTCTTACCTGTAGTTCAAGTGGCTTTTCACTACTTTGAAGCAGAAACTGAATTTCAGCCACTCTTCTAGAAAATTCTGATGTTTGTTGTTCATGCGTTTGCAACTCTTCCTAAAACACATAATTTTAAAGAGAAAAATCTTTTTATTTGCTATTTTATTTCCTGGTAGCCATGGACAACTGCTGATCTACAGAAACTGACAGATCCCTTAGATTTTTCCTGATCATTCCAGTTTTTCACGGAGCCCTGGGAGATTCAGAGCCAGTGACCCCAGCCAAGGCTGGAACTCAGGAAGCATTCGAGTTTTAAGGCAGCAGAGAGGGGCAAGGCCTGTGCCACAGAACCCTGGGCAGTGCCAGGGCACTGCAAATCTCGTAGCTATGGATACATAAACTGTGGCACACATAATTTCGGCAGAATTCGGCTGACAGCCTAACCATTTATAACCTTTAACCTCAGATTTTTATACAACCTGTAGTTCAAGCCAAATTTAAGGTCTCTTGAAGATGGTTCATTTGTACTTAGGAAATCATGACTTTACTTCATAATGTATCCATGAAACTGGAAAATCATCACACATTTCAAAGCTTTTTCCAAATGTACACACAGAGATGTCAATTAAAAATTGAATAAAACAGCAAGAACTGGGGATGAGACTTGAAGCACTGCTACACATACAGCAGTTTTATATTACACTGAACCACATGTAACTGGCCCGTTAACCGCTGCCTCAACTACTCAGAAAACAATTTTATATGGTGTAAACTAATAAAATGGAAATGAGGCAATCAGAAAGAATTCTTTCTAGGATTAAAAGTGATAACTTTGATTCCTTCCAAATGCTAAAACCTAAGATTACTGTTTAAAAACTAGCTTTTAAAAAAACAAAAAGCTATGTAAAGAGGTTGATAGTCTTGAGTCTTATCTTTTTGAGGAACTGTTCACACTGTTCGCGCTCATGAGCTGGGTAGGGGGCTCACACACTGCAGCCTCAGGAGAAGTGGCCTGCTTTTATCGATAAAGTTTTATCGCAACCCAGCTACTTCCAAAGACTTTTGCATTGCCTATGAGTTTTGTGCTACCGCAGCAAAGTGTCAGTAGCTGTTGTCATAGAAACAGAACGTTCCATGAAGCTCAAATATTTACTGTGGTCCTTTAAGAAAGGGTTAACCTACACATAAGGTCTAGACTACCACTCGGGGACATTTTGTTAATTTCTTTGTTTTTTGTTGTTGTTGTTTTCCGGTGCCGGGAGTCGAACTAACGACCTTGCGCTTGCCATGCAGGTGCTGTGCCACTGAGCTAAATCCCCAGCCCCCATTTTGTTAGTTTCTGCTAGGAGTTCTTAACCTTTTTCTATACCACATATCCCTTTGGACATCTGGCAAAATGTACATAAGTTTGCACATAATATTTTAAAAATAAAAATTATAGACAATTGCACAGGACTCCAGAGAAACCAATTAGTGTAGGTGATAGTTATCACATAAAAAAAAAAAAACTGTGATATATACTACTTCATTTTTCTCTATTAATGTCTTAAATTGCACAATCTAGCAGTGGGCCTACTAAGTTCTATACTTTCAAAGTAGTGCTAAGGGTAATAGTTGTAACAATTGAATAATATCAAAAAAATACCTGTGATTTTCTTGAAAGTTACATATAATGCTTACCCTACTGTGCATCTTGTCTTACCAAAGTGAAGCGAATGCTACATTTTAATTAGACATTTGTGAAAATAAAGGTGGAATCTTTCCTTGTGTAAGGTCGTTTTTATCAATGAAACCTCTTGAGTGTCTGTGAGCCCCAGGTTGAGAGCATCCACTAACATTTTCCTGGGCATCACAGAGGGAAGGATAGAGTTGGGGGTCCTCTCAAGGGTTAATGAAAGGAGTAAAATACTTTGTGTCTTTGTGATTTTTCTCCCTTGCACCAGGAAAGCAAACTCAGTATTGAAGTATGAACCTTGTGAGAACCAAGCATGTATGAGAGCTCTGTTGAGCTACCTTCAGCTGTTGTCTGTCCGCTTCCGTCAGTGGGTGTGAGCCCAGTTTCTGAAGGGTCTCTTCCGTCCATTCATCAATGAAATTTTTTAAGTTAAAAAGTTTGTCCCACAAAGCCAGAGCTCGACCGAGATTTTCATAGTATTCTTCTGTCTTTTCATTTATCTGCCGTAATTTAAAAACAGAAGTAATGCACACAGCGGTCAGAAACATGAAAGCAACTGTTTCATTCCAACATTTGCTTCAAAATAAAATTTTAAATTAACATGACTGGCTAACTAATTTGCTTCATTTATCAACAAAACATTCACTTTAATATAGCATGTAGTTCCTTCTCTTAAGAAAAACAAACTTTAGCCAGTTTGCTATAGCTTATATGCAACTGAAAGCAACAGTCATCTAACACTTAAACCAAAATTTGAAAAACAGATGGTTTTAAAAAACCCAGATGAAACTATAGTACAGATAAATTCTTATTGGTTTGTAATTCATAAAAGTATCATCAATGTATTAAATATATAACTGAACAATGTATTAAATATATAACTGAACTTTGATATCCTGTGTAAGTAAATAATATCTTAACTATTTTAAATAAGGAGTATATATTTTTGTATCTGGAAGACTACAGAACTATTTCTTAGTACTGCCTAACGCTAGGGTGAAATTAATTCCTAAGTTACAAACACTATATGACACTTTTACAATAAATACAGTTTAATTTTTTAATTAGATAAGAATATTAAAGATACACTTAAGAGATCAATTTAACTTATAAAATAAAATTTGTAGTCCATTAAATTACTACATACATCAAGCCATCTATCCACAATAACATTAGCCTCTTTTTCAAAAGGGGGCTCTTCAAAAGTTTTCATTTTATTTAGATGAAATTGTAGATTTTTACAGATCTGGTTTATCTTATCTACCACTTCTAAATGTTCGTTGAATTCTTCTTTGACAATTTCAATCTGTATAAAAGATAATGAAAAATGTTATTTATAAATTGACAGACACACTGGTAAGAATCACAATTCTATTTTCAGTTATTCAGCTTAAACACAACACTACACAAAAACAAAACTGCATGGGCCTCTCTAAAAACATTACTACACTGGGTTTTTTTGGTACTGGGAATCAAACTCAGGACCTTGCACTTGCCAGGCAGGCGCTATGCCACTGAACTACATCCCCAGCCCTACACTGTTCCTTAGAGCACGTTTTTATTGTCCCACTTTCTCAATGAAAAGCTTTTAGAATCCTAAACACTGGTTTATGATAATCTGACACTCAAATTTTCTCACTTTACAATGGTCTAAAACCATAATTCTGGCCTATGTAAAATAAGATTCCACAAAAAAAAAAAAACATACCCATGAAGCTGTATAAAAACAGTTCCTACATTTCTCATTAGGAATCATATTTTAAGGTGAAAGAACCTAAGTGTTTATAGAAATTAAATAAACTGAGTTCTAGACATCTTTAATATGACTTCCAACTGGCTTCTAATTTTGGCATGTGAAATGCTGCTTTATCAAACAGAAATCTCCAATCGTTCGGAAACTAAACAGTCTGTCTTCTCTCGGTCGGAATCCATGGGGAACAGGTTCCTATACCCCCAGTGGACAACGAGACCCATAGACCCTCAGGTAGCCCATGTAAAGTGACATACTGTAATTTATATACGCTTATCTCCTATATATTCTGAATCATCTCTAGACTACTTATGCCTAAAATGATGTGAATGCTATAACTACTGATTATACCATATAGGAAATGATAAGAAAAAGGAAAGTCTGTCCAAGTTCGGTACGGACACAATTTTTTCCACACATTGATCGGCAGTTGGTTGATGCGTATGCAGAGCCCACGGATGTGGGTGAGCAACCGAATGAAATCCAAACTACAGGTCAAAGAGTAGGTCTCAAGGGAAACCCTACACTACATCCATCAGAATGAAAGTAAAACATCAAAACTTGTAGTCCATAGAGTATTGCTTAGAGAGAAACTGAAAGTACTCAATGCTTACCTAAGAAATAAGAAAAAGTTCAAATTAATGGTCTGTGCTATCAATTCAAGGACAAAATAAGCCCAAAGCCAACAGAAGAAAGCAGTAATGAAATAAAAACAGAAATGAATGAAGCTGCAAGCAGAAGAGCACTAAGGGAAAATCATTACGGCAAAAGCTAGATCTTTCGAAGATCAGTAAAACCAGCAAACCTGCAGCAAGACTGACAAAGAAAAATGCAATAGCAGTACTAGAAATAAAAAGGGGCATCACTACAGACATCAGCAAGGTGGTAAAGCAATGCTTCCAATTATGAACAGACGCAAATGTGACAACCGAGATCAAATGGACCAATTCCTTGACAGCAAACTGTCACAACCCATCTGATATTAAATACATAACACAAGTGGTCCTATTCATGACATTAAATGTACAACATCAAAACTTTTAAGCAAACAAGTCTATGGGTCCAGATGGTTTCACTAGAGAATTGGTCAAACAACAGACACAAGGGCTCTCAGGGCCTCAGGGGCTGGGGAGACGACAGGGCTCTAAAATGACAGTAAAAGCGACACTGTGTGACCTGCACAACTGCACTGATCGGGGTATCTATGATGCCCTAAGATTTAGAAACTCCATAAAGGCTACACAGTGTCTCTCTTTCCTGTTTCTTACAACTGCATGTGAATGTCTAATTGCCTCAAAACTATGCTTATTTTTAAAAATTGAAATTAGGTAAAATCTTTAAAAAAGAAGAACAGTAAGTAGGGAGGTTTCTTTCTTCTGATTAGATGCTGACTGGTATACTAGCAGAATTGAGATCCAAACCCAAGGTTTCCTGCTCTTGGACCAGGACTCTGCAGTAGGGAATCATAAACATCTGTACTCACGCGCAAAGAACTTAGTTACACCAGCACAAGTTACCCTGAGCTGAAGAAGGAAAGGAGAGGTGGGGGTACTTTCAGCACTGACAGAAACCGCAGTTTTGTTTTTTAATCAATGGAGGGGCAAAGTAAAGAGAGCTAGGCCCGGCCTGACGTTTCCCACATGTCTATAGTGCCCCGGCATTCCAGCTTCGGGTCTTTCTTTTGCACTTCTGTCTCTCATTGAAAAGAGTAGAAATTTGGCACCATATCTTAGATAAACATCCTGGTTTCTATGGTTTTGAGGGACAAAAGTTCCCAGTGGTATCAGGTATCCAGACGCTGGTGCAAGCATCAAGAAGATATAGCAACTGACCGCTTCTGGAGACAGGGCCTAAGTCATCACCAAATTAACTGCAGCTGTGCGAATAATCAGTACTAAAATTTCCTTTCCAGAGACAGGTTTTTGTTTGTTTGTTTGTTTGTTTGTTGTTTTTTTGAGACAAAGACTATAGTTCAGGTTAGCCCTGAACTTATTATGTAGCCTGGGCTACACAAGGAAACTGCATTGATCTTCCTGCCTCAGCCTCTTGAGTGCTGGGATTACAGGCATGTACCACCATGCCCAGCATTCCACAGTTAAAAAAACTTTTATTATTGGTTGACTTCTTGATGATAGCCATTTTTCTGGAGTGAGATGGAATCTCAGTGTTGTTCTAATCTGCATCTCTTGAATGACCCATGATGTTGAACATTTTTTCATATCTTTATTTGCTGTTTTTTATTTCTTCATCTAAGAAGTGTGTACTCATCTCAGGTGTCCATTTCTGGATTGGGTCTTTGAATTTGGGGGGTCTGATTTTTTTCAGTTCTTTATATGTTCTTGCTATAACTAACACCTTTGTCTGAGGGACAGCTGGCTATAATTTTTTTCCAACTCTGTGGATGTATTTTCATTTGCTGGTGATTTCTTTTGTTGTGCAGAAGCTTTTTAATAAGGGGAGATCCCATTTATTGATTCCTTGTAGTATTTCCCATGCGGTCTGGCTTTTGTTCCTGAAGTCTCTGCCTATACCTATGTCTTCTACCTACTTTCTCTTCCAGTAGATTTAGTGTTTCTGTTTTAATATTTAGATCTTTGAGCCATTTTGATTTTAGTGCATGACGATAGACTGGGTCTAGTTTTAGTGGCATGTGGAAAGCTAATTTTCCACCACCATTTATTAAAGAGACTATCTTTCTTTCAGTGAACATGTTTGGCTCCTTTGTCGAAGATAAGCTGGTTTAGTGTGTTTGGAGTTGCATCTGTATCTTCTGTTTCACAGATCCTCAGGTCTGTGGGGGAAAAGGAACCCTTCTCCACTGTTGGTGGGAGTGCAGACTGGGGCAACCACTGTGGAAATCAGTGTGGAGATTCCTCAGAAAACTAGGATTAGAGGTACCCCCCTTCTGGGTATTTTCCCAGAACAATTAAAAACATCATACCACAGTGATACATGTGCACCCATGTTTATAGCAGCCCAGTTTATAATAGCTAAATCTTGGAAACAACCCAAATGCCCATCAACTAAGGAATGGATAAAAAAAGATGTGGGTTTTTTTTGTTTTGTTTTTTTTTTTTTTTTGTCTTTTTGAGACAGGGTCACACTATGCAGTTCAGGCTGGACTTGAGCTCACTTTGTAGCCCAGGCTAATCTCAAACTCACAACAATCCTCCTGCCTCAGCCTCCTGAGTGCTGGGCTTACAGGCATGTGCCACCACATCCAGCTCAGTAAGCAGGATCTTGTTCTTAAAAGAAAATTCAACACATGGTTATAGTCCCTTACTGTTTAAAAGTCCTGGCCGGGCACATGCCTATAATTCCAGTACTCAGGAGCATCACCATGAGCTCAAGGCCAGCCTGAGCTACATAGTGAGTTCAAGCCTTGCCTACATTACATGGTGAGACCCTGTCTCAAAGGGGAAAAAAAGAAGTCCTTACTGTTTAAAAGGTGAGGTAAGCAACGACTTAACAAGACTGGCGATCACACCTCCCATCCCTCTCTTGGGCATGGGTGCCGAGGAACACAGCCAATAAAGACCAAGCCCTCCACACTGCAAGCCATCTTAGCACCTAGGCATCATCACTTTGGCAGTACTAGTCACAGAAGCAGTCATTCCTGAAAATCTCAAGCCCACAGGATAACCCTATTTGGATTCGGTTTTTATGACTTCATGGTTCTCTCGCTTCCAAGAGACCTCACCCAGTGTAGGGCGGGGATATGGCTGTGAGAACAGCGAAGACAGGAAACTAACTCTTGGAGGTGGTTGCGGTGAACATCCGGCTTTTCGTATTCACCGCTGCATCCTTAGGATCAGTTTCCAGAAGAGAAATATTTGGTCCAATAGATTTTCAAAGATCTTAACTAATACTGTCAATGTTTCCCTCCTTCTTCCCTTCCTCCTTCTGTTCTTCCTTTCCTTCCTTTTTCCCCCTCCCTTACTTTCTTTTCAGTGCGAGGGAGGGAATCAAACTCAAGGCTGCACACATGCTCTGCCAGCGCCCCGTCTCAGGGGAGTGACAAGCTCCCTGGGGAGGGTGCATCGTATCAGGGACTAGCAAAGCCTGTGCCAATCTGAAAGCCAAAAAAAGATGCTGTGAAGAGTTTGGGGCCCTGTGATTACTGAGGAGGTTGAACTCCTTGTCTTTTTTTTTTAAATTAACAATTCTCGCCAGTCATGGTGGCGCACGTCTGTAATCCCAGTACTCGGGAGGCTGAGGCAGGAGGATCATTGTGAGTTCGAGAACAGCCTGGGCTACAAAGTGAACTCAAGGCCAGCCTGAACTGCATACTGAGACCCTGTCTCAAAAAAATCAATCAATCAATCAATCAATCAATCAACAATTCTCAGTGTATTTTCTACTTCCCATTGGAATCACAATAGTTTTCTCATACTTTCTTTTGCATTTTCTATGTTATTGCAAACCTTATGCTCTCGGAGTGAGTAAAAATATTTTTCTACTCTCCAGGATGGTAGAAAATACTAAAATATTAACAATTTATTATAATAATTTCTGTATATGGGGCATAATTAAGCAAACTGTTCTTACTAGATATTATATAAATATCAATACCATTCATAGGAATAATTAATTAAAAGTCCCCATTCTTTAACTTAGTCATAGTTAAAACTAATGCTGAAGCAAGCAGCCACAGTCCTCACGTCACTCAAGAGGCGTAGCTTTGTGGTACAGCCCATACCTAGCATGCAGGAAAGCCTGCGTTCACACCTCAGAACCAAAACCCAACGAAGCCTTTGTCACAAGTAGTTCTTGGTCAGTATCGAAGAATGGGATGAGCTGTTACTTTTTGCTCAAAACAATGGTAATTTAATCCCAGCACTTGGGAGGCTGAGGCAGGAGGATCTTTGCAAGTTTGAGACCAGCCTGGGCTGCAAAGTGAGCTCAAGGCCAGCCTGAACTGCATAGTGAGACCCTGTCTCAAAAAGACAAAAACGAAAACAAAACAAAACAAAACAAAAAACCCACTAATTGAAAGGTGAGCAAATATTTCAATGCCAGCGTCTGCATTTTTAAGTTAAATCTATATTCATTCTATGGATTTGTAGCTGTAAATTTGTTTGTAATTGTAACATTGGGTTTGTATATAAATCCACTTATTGAATAAAATAATAAGGAACTCAATATTAGAGGGTTCATTTAGTAGTTATCTTACAAGAACTACAGATTTATAGCCTCAAAACTGTATGTATCCGTGTGTGCGCGCGCATGCGCGCACATGTGTGCATTATGAGAAACCACATGTTGGCATGTAGAGTTTTTCTTAGTAAAACCTGAAACAAAATTCTGATAGTGCATGTTTTATTTGCTGGATAAATGATTTATTCAGAAAGGAGAGTTAACAGTTATGGGGTGACACAGACGTGGGGTCGTGTGCTTGACAAGAGCTGCAGATCTGTCACACGTAGGGTCTTACAATTAATAACAGGATACAAGTGTTAGCTATTTTCTCATGTTTTACATTAGAAGTTGCCATGCATCTTATAATCAGTAGAATCTAAAACTGAAGGAAATACAGCACATTTGCCATTGGAGGTTGGCTCTGCCCACCAGTGTGAGGAAGAATCGTCGTGCCTATGACCTCACCAATCTTGTTATAATCAGTCACCTAGCACACAGCACTCAATTCCTCACTTAGGAATGTTTTTAAAGGTATCTCTCCCTTTCATAAAGTCTGTGGATTAATCACTAAGACTCTCTAACACATTACTTTGTATAAAATTCTTTTCTTTCATACAGAAAAAAAAGAAAATGTTTCATGTAGGAAATGTTTATAAATGTTAAAGGGATAATCTAGAATTAAAAACTGTATATACATTTATACACACAGGTCCTCAGCAGTTATCATTATAAAACATCTAATGGGAAGTACTTTTAGTTTTTGTTTGTTTGGGTTTCTTTTTGTCTTTTTGAGACAGGGTCTCGCCATGCAATTCAGATTGGCCTTGAGCTCACTTTATAGCCCAGGCTAGTCTCGAACCTGCAACACTCCTCCTGCCTCAGCCTCCCGAGTGCTGGGATTACAGGCATGTGCCACCACGCCCAGCTGGTTCTCTGTTTTTCCACTAATGCACTAAAAAACACCACCTAGTCGTCCGATTTCCCATGCTGGGTGGGATACGCATTTGTCTGTTCTTCCCCAGATGCCACTGCAACGCCAGGAGAGAATAAATGGTGCAGACCCGCAGGACAGAGTGCACTCTGGAAAGGGACGTGAGGTGAAATGCCCACAAGCTGAAGAATGGTGCTACCTGGCGTAATAAACCAGAAAAGGCCGAAATCTCAGCCAAGAAAGAGAGGGGTTGGGGAGGAAGGTGGAAGGAGACGCCAGTAAAAAGTCCATTTATGCCATGGAATATTTTAGACAGTCTAGAAACTGCCTTGAGGCGCGCAGGAAAGTGCAAATAGTCACAAACAAGAAAATGGGATATTAGCTTTTACGGGCAACACTTTAGCCTCCCTCTGCCCTGGCAGAAGGTGAAGGGCTGGCCTTCTGGAGAGACTTAGCCAAGGACAGGGCTGGGCTCCTGTCCTGACAGCCACAGAGGAGCGCGGGTAGACTGCCCTCGGGGGCTCCATGGCCAGGGGTCAAGGGCTCAGGAGCAGAGCTGCGGGTGAGCCACAGTGGGGCAGGGCAGTGAGGCTAACACTCGGAAGATGGTGATAAATCCCAGGCGCTGAACCTAGGTGCTCATGCAAGGTGTTGACAAAGGCAGAAGATGCTGGGTGCTCTGAGAACCAAGGGAACCAGAACTCGTTACACCCAATGGGACAAGGACAGGATCCTCCTGCTTCCCAGGGCCAGCAAACCCCAAAAACAACCTCACTGGAAGGAGACAGGCTGCATGTGAGCAACTCCGGCTGGCTGTCTGCTCACGATCCTGTGACCCTTCCGGTTCAGTCTGACGGGAAACTAGTTACACAGCCGCCGCCTACACAACCGACGTGCGAAAAGGGGCTCTTCGGATTTGTCAGCTGGGTGGCCCTGGGTCCCAGACAGCAGCTATTCCTGACACTCTGCATGTCACTGGAGCCAGTGAGTTAACAGTTCTCAACTACGTCATTTGTATACATCGGGTCTATTTGCACTTCTACAGAGCTGCACTCGATGACTAGAACGTTTAACAGTTGCTTTCTACATCCAAGTACATCCAGCAGGCCACATTTCCCACACGCTTGGGACACCAGCAGTACTCTGGCCGGATCTCTTAACACAGGAAAAGCGCCTTTCTGATGTGCAGTCCCCAGTGTGGTGTAGTGGCTTTTTGTTTTTTTATAAACTCTTCCATTCTTCTGTCACTGTAGTTGATGACTACGGCATGTAAAAACATAGAAAATAATGACATCTAGTGTTCAAACATGTCATTCTTCACAGAATACGGAGTCGTGCTCAGTGAGGCTGTGAACAGAGGGAGCTGCGCAAAGACAAAGCGCATCCACCTGTACAGAAGCAAGCGGAGGAAACCTAGCCTTTCCCTCACCTTCACAACGGGGGATTCTCCTGCCCTCTTCATTCTTTGAAACCCGCAGGGAAGCCTCAGTTCTTTTAAGCAGAAGGTGGCGGAAAGGTTGTCATACCCTCACAGATGCAGCCACTAAGGGCGATGCCAGGCCCTGGTGGGACTGCAACCCCAAAACCAACCCCCACACAGAAGCTACCCACTACCAGGTTGGGGGCTGATCTTTTCCAAGCACTGGTGTTAAACTCATTATATTCTTAGATACCCAGTAAAATACAGTCAGAGCTAACTTCGCTTCACCCAGATTTCAAATCCAAATCCATTTAGCTGGATGTGGGGGTGCTGTCCTGTGATCCCAGCATTCGGGAGGCTAAGGCAGGCGGGGCAGCCTGGGCCATAAATATAGTGAGCTCAAGGCCAGCCTGGACTACACAACACCACTTTGTCTCAAAAATAAAACAATCAAAACAAACCAAAACAACAGATTTCATTTCTGCTGCTAAGATCCCCTTTACTGTTGGGCTCGTGTTCGAGGTCACGGCACAGACGCCCTCTTCGGGGCGCAGACTCACCTCTGCCATCCGCTTCCTCAGGTTCTCCTTGCCCATGTACGAAGCCTGCTGGGAGATGACGGTCTCCTCCTTTTGAATCAAAGCTGTCAGGACACTTTTAAAATTCTGATACTGCTTCAAGAGCTCCAGAACTCTTCCACACTGGTCAAGGCTATGAAGAGGGAAAAGACAGTAACACAGCTGAACAACTGAAAATAATAAAATCATCCTTTCTCTATGTAAGTCTAACCAATAATGACTTAACAGGTTAAAAAAAGGCTTTTCCTCTCAAGATAACCTAAGGGTGACGATGCGTGTATTGATCTGCAAAATAGATGGCACAATAATCCCCGGGTTGGTGCAGTTGCCAGATCAATACTTAAAAGTTGACAGATGTAAACTATAAGGGAAACACAAGATTTGTAATCCTACACACCAGCATCTCAATTCTATCATTAATCAAAAGACGTGGTTTTTTAAATTTTGGTGCTGGGAATCAAACTCAGGACTTTACACTTGCCAGGCAGGCACTTGTACCACTGAGCTATATCCCCGGCCTCTCAAAAGACATTTGGAAAACAGACTCCCTAGTATTATTCTTGGCGCTTCCATTGAATTTATCCGCTGAATTCACCTGTGGCTTCACAGGTCGCTCACAGCAGTGTCTATTCTGCTCACTGTCGGTTCAGCCCTTTCAGGAAAGTGAAACCGTGCAGAAAAGGTGGCAGCTAGTAACCTGGTTTCTAGTATGTCCAGGCACTACTTAGTCAGTGACTTTGGAGAAAATGCTTTAGACTCTCGTCCTCAAGCTTCTCCTTGCGGTGAATGGGAGGGTAGAGATCAGACACCACGCAGGCTGCTCTGACTTCTGTCCAGGTGGGGCACAAGGACACAAAAGAGGGACACGAGGACAGGACCCTGCACAGAGGCCCACTGAGGGGCGGCAGAGCTAAGAGAAGCCCCCAGCGAGGCTGAAGCCCCCAGGATTTCCCACAGTCATAGGTTATGCCGCTTCCTCCCAGAGAGAGAGAGGGCAAGTTGTCGAGGCCACACAGGTACCGCCGCCCCGAGCTTTGCAAGGACCACGCGGTGTAGACGCTCGCACCGGGCGCCCCTCCGCTAGGTCCCTGGCATGTGTTTTCCATATAAATTTTCCTAAACCTTAACTACGTTCAGACAGTGTTTCAGATTCAGGAGGGGTTTCTGCTCCCTTACCACTCGGTGACAGCCATTTTTGTGCTATCCCACAAGAGCACGGTATTCTGGCACTGTTCATTCACAATTTTTTCTCTGCCATCTTTGAACTGTGGAAGAGAACTGGCCATTTCTTGTAAGTGTTTTTTCTCTGCTTCGTATCCATCTAGATCCTTCTCCAGTCTGATTAAGGATTTTTTCCTGGATTATGGAGGAGAAAAGCATATTAGCCAGGTGTTAACCAATGTGATTCCGTACAAGTACCTGGGGGTCTGTGCTAACTCCCCTCTGTCCTGTGAGGTTAATGATGAAGTTGCATGTTTTGTGACAGAGTCCAGTAGGAGTACTAATTTGGCATTTAAAAAAAATATACAAAACCATTAGAAGAGACATTCCCCCCCCCCTTTGTAAAGGCGTGTCTATGCAAATGAGGGAGAGAGAGAGAGCCTGCGTGGGAGCGGGCGTGCATGTATGGAGATGACAGGGAGAGATGCGGGGGAGCGAAGGGATGGAGACTCAGCGCTGCAGGATCCCTAAGGAAGAAGCGGGAGAGATCAGGGAGACAGGAAAGGCCATCCTGCACTTCCACCCTATGCACCAAACGTTCTCCTGTATCACAAAGGAGGTAGTAGGGATGGAACCCAGGGCCTTCGCAACAAGCTACGTTCCCCAGCCGTTTCTTACATTTTTGAAACAGGGTCCTGCTTAAGTCGCTCTCGTTGCTGTCCTTTCGCCCTTCCTCCCCTCCCCTCCCACACCTGGCGTGCGTGCTACAGCCCTGGCCTAGAAGGCTCTTCCTGCAGCGGTCCCATAGCTTGCTCTTGCATCTCCTTGACGTCAAGGTCACCTGCTAATCAAAGCCTTACCTGATGGCCCTGCTGAGTCACAACCTCCTCCGCCGCCTTCCCTACCAACTCTCCACAGGCTTCCTCACCTCCAGACAAACTAAGTACCCTCTTCTTTCCAGGACATACTGTGCTCTACAAGGGGCAAGAAGTTCTCTGTTCACTGCTCTATCCCCAGAACCTGTAACAGTGCTTGGCACACAATACACATTTGTTCGATTAACAGCTACGTTAATAGAGTAAGGTATAATTTATAAACACATGATTTTCTCGTGCAGATGTTACTTGTTATGCAGAAATCTGTAATTAAAATTCATTAAAGGAATAACTACACTAATAATTAGTTCAGCACCTCACTATGAATTGGGGCACTCTAGCAACGCAGTCTCATGCGGCCTGAGGGCGGAGGGGAACTGGGAAAGGGTGCACTTGGCTACCCTGAGGGACTTGGTCAGCTGAAGACCCTCCAGAAACCATTGAGCCTGGGCAGCCGGGGACACAGAGTGGGAGAGACTCAGGGAGAAGAGGAGAGAAAGTTCCACAGAGGTGACTCTTGCTAATATTCCCACTTCCAGGACCCAGAGGACACACGCAGAATGCCGGAGTTCACACGCAGGGCAGGTGCAAGGGGCTGCTAGCCCCAGTCCACCGCGATTCTGCTCCATCGCCACAGCAGCACCTAACCTCCCTCTTGAAGTCAGCCCCACGTCCTCCCGCTCAGCACCCCCAGGTCCTACTGGGAGGAAGGGGGAGGCCAAACAATCAGCGAGGTGCAGGGACAAGACGTGGCACGCGCGTCCTCTGCCACTGGCCCTTCCATACCGAATGTGTGGGCTGTGCCCGTCCCCTACCCTCAAGGGACTGTAAGACGCACACCAAGTGCAAAGGGCTCTGAAGGAACGCGTGTCCTTTACACGGGTGTCCTTGCCTCACCCTGAGAAGACACACGTTAAAGAGATAATATATTATCTCTCTATTCTGGAAAGGAACTGTGTCAGTAAAGCCGAAAGCTTGCTTGAGAAGCCTACCGAGAGGAATGGGGTGGGATGGGACAGCAATGGAAACACACGGGAGCGTCTGTCTCACACGAGAGAGAGGTGGAAGTGCAGCAGTGTCCCCCTGGGCAGAAATGCATGGAGGCATCACTCTTCTTACCGATGCTTTACAGCCGGAACAGTGGGATCCTTCAGGCCAATCTCACCCATCTGCTTCTGCACATCCTGAAGATTTTTAAAGAGCTCATTATTTTTGGAGCTACAGGCCTCTAACAGTTGGTTCTCCTCAGCCAGTTCCTGCTGCACACCAAGGCCCCGTGTGTCGGATAACTTTGTGCACACGGCATCTACAAGCTTTTCACAAGTGGAATCTCTGCCTTGCTCGCCGTCTTTAACGGTTATGCCAAGCGTCTGCAAGCGCTCATCCAGCTGTCTGGCCTTGGCTTTCATCAGCCGAATTTCTCCCTCCATATCCCTTCCCGTTGAAGTACTTCCCGGTGCCCCCGGTGCATCTGAGGCTGACAGCTCCGTGACAAGGTCCTCGGGAAGCTTCACCGCTGCTAGAGAGGACAGCAGCTCCTCCAGGGCAGCCAGGACAGCCTTACTCATCTGCACCTTACGGCTCGCTCGCTCAAGCTGAGTTCTGCACGCCAGCAGAATGTTTTTTGTGGCGCCTACGTCAACCGGGTGTAATCCCTTTAATACAGAATTGCCTGGCTCTTCTAAGTCGCCACATATTGTTATCTGTTTTGCAATGGAATCCTGGATATTCTAAAAAAAAGAGAAAAGAATTTAAAGGAAAAGACTAAGGCGGACAAAAGAAAACTGGATGTCACACATTAATCTCAATCAGAAGACTAGATCTGATCTAGAAAAATGCTTCTGAGATTAACCAAAGCTGACACTTTACCATAGGAAACTTTTTAATTACAATGATCAGCGAGCCCAGCTGTGTCATTATCTCATGCCCCCTCCCCCGATGTTTCAGCCGCCAAGAGAAAACAAGTACATAAATCTATTGTTTCAAAGCAAAGAGAGATGAGCAGTTGTGAGAGCAGCTATACAGGCTGAAAAGTATTTAGGACAGAATCCGTCTGGAATAAATAAATGTAAAATATGCCAGTTTAAGCCAATGGGTCTAATATGGTATTTCAGAATTCAGTCACCAAGGAAGGCACTCGGGAAGGTGGCTTTATTTTGGCTTCAAAGAAAATACCCTGTTATTTATTACATGGCACCTACTTCCAAAGTTACAAGGAATTGGAGACTTGAGAAATGAATAGCAAGTTAATAAATTATTGAAGATTTTTCTGTCCTGGCTATATTTGAGATCTACACTGATAAATACATTAAAAATGCATAACTATCTGATTTCTCTGTCAATACACCAGGAGGAATTATTTACCCTCAGGTTTTGGTAAACGCCATCAGCGTCCACAAGATGAAGTTCCTGGACGGCCACCTCCCTGTGAGCCAGGTCCGAGGCACACAGGGGCAGCGACTCCTCCTCCACAGGCAACACAACTTGCAGTGCCAGCTCTAGGGATTCGATTCTGGGTGAAAAATAACCCAGACGGGAAAGGAAACAAAGCAGAAAAATATCTTACAAAAATACATCAACACCATTATTTGACCATGAACGAAAAATAGTCACCCAAGGAAAACACACATAGTGATATGTACAGATCACATTAAATCCAAACTCACACATCTAAAATGCCAAAGCATGAGTTTGCCATATCCAAGTGTTCTTTTTATCCATTAATTTATCCATTAATCATTCATCTAACAAACATTTATTTAGTAAGAGACCTTGGTTAAGTATGCATCCATTGGCCCTAGCCAACTCCAACTCACTTGTTACTGTTTTGATATCCTTACTAATGATTTCTCTTTCCCTCTAAAATGCGTCCTAATATCTAAGAATTATAAATAATTAAATGGAAATAACAACAGAAAACTGCTGTTAAACAGTTTTCGTTGTTGTTAAGTATTTCCCTCTGTTTCGAAATTTAAATACTGATATACTTTAACTTTGACATGATGACCAAGAAACCTCATAATTATTTTATTGCAATTATGGAATAATTTATAATTCCATTCATAAACGTTACTCCACATGATAGGGTTCAAGTAACAGGCTCTACAGGTAACAAACTGAAATGCGTGGCTGTGGGTAAGTCACAGACTCGGAGCCTCCGTGGCTTCCTATGTAAAACAGGGGCACGTGCTGGGGACACATATCCTGTACACATCTTGTTGATGTGGATTAGTAACAGCACTCTTGTTTCAGAAATGAGGAAGTCATTTCTTCCTGACAGTGTACTTGGCCACATTCATGCCCAAGAAGAGACGCCCGGAAGAGCATGACCTTGGAAGTTCCACCCGTCTCTGGCAGTTTCTGGCTACCGCTATAGGTTGGTTGTGCTCCACACCCTGTCTGAGCACATGTTTCCTTATCAGTAAAACGACCACTGTGATTGCTACATGTTGGATCTGGAACAATCCCTGAAGGCCCATGTGTTAAAGGCTTGGTCCTGGGATTGGTGTTTTGGGAAGCTGGGAACTGTTAGGAGCTGGGCCTAGTGGAAGTTAAATCACTTGAAAGGGGATAGGGATCCTTCCCTCTTTGCTTCCCAGCTGTCGGGAAACAAAGAGACCCCCCTCACACCACGCACTCCCACCATAACATACAGCGCCACCCCGGGGCAACAGAGCCAGGAAACCTGGACTGGAACCACGGAAACCGTGAGGAACGCTACACCTTCTCCCTTAGGAAGATGCCTTAGCGCGGGTATTTTTTACAACAGACATCTGGCTAATGCAATAATGTTGGTCTCTTTTGTGGTCATGATAACTAAATAAAATAACATACTTAGTATAGCAATCATTTTGCTTAAAAGGACTTCTAAAAATTGAGTAGATTCATTAAACTCATGGGTAGTAAGTAGATTTCACAATTATACCTGGCCTTAAGAGGCACTTGAAAGTCGCTTTCTTTTCCCTTTAATGTATCTCTTGCCTTAACTATAACAGGCTTCTCCGTGTCACCCACAAGACTTTCTAGCTTCAGTGAGATGACTTCAAACTCTTTCCAGCAAGCATCAGTTTCATTTTTTAAGAGCTAGATGAAATATACAAATTAACACATCAATCAGAAAATTAATAAGCACAATTATTTTATTCTTACAAAATGAGACATTTACTATTGTGGGAGGAAACAGAATGTTTCACATGAAAATGTGTTTTAAAATATTTTCCAACCATCTACAAATGAACTGTCCCATAGGGAAACATGGCATTAATTGTGCTCTCAAAAGTACCATTCAGTGAAAGAAAGGTGTTGACAACACAACTTGCAAAGGTCCCCAGCTCCCTTCACCTTAGATACTATACAGAGAACACAATCCAGAAAGATACATATCCACCAGGAATAGATATTCTATTTCCTCTAGCTAGTAAATCTGCTACCTTCTAAACGAAAAGAAAACTGTGATGAAACAAAACTGTTTCTATACACATAAGTAAATAAATAACATTAACTTACGGCTTATAACAAAACGTCTATAATTCTATACTAGTCCAGTGTCTTATTTTAAGGCACAACCTAAGAATACTATTGAGGGATCAACAGAATTATTTGTTCTTCACTCTCTCCAAAATCTAATATAGTCTTCCCAATCAACTTAATAGTCAGTCACCAGGGGAAAGACTCCAGACAGTTTCTTAGTGGTGATGAAAACATGCTAAATCCATCGCTTAAACACCGTGATTTTTACACACACAAAACTGGCTTATTCAGGGGACAAACAGAGAAGAGTGTGACTGAAAGCTGGCATAAGAAAGGGAAGGAAACTGGCAAGTGGCGCACACTACAGGACCCACACTGGCCTCGGTCACCGGGTGGATGGGTCCCTCACGAAGGTTACAACACATGACAAGACCACTGCACTACAACGCACTGATAATCCTCAACACGATTAAGGTATTTACTTGTAAAGCTTATGATGTGTGCGTTCCACCACTAACAGACTGCAGTTTCTCTACCACCAGAGTCAAACGCAAAACTTTATCTGAAGTCTCTGGGAAGATCATTCATCATTCCCTCCGCTGCCTGACTACACTGCTTAGCATCAGGCAGTCCACAGCTGATACACATTACAGCAATTCTACACAATGTGAGAACTTGGTCGAGACGATGACTGACTGAGATGAATATTCAAAGTCACTAGTTTATTAAGTCCGGAGCAACACAGCAGCAGGTGGAAACTGCCACCAAACATGTCGTTTTTGATCAGTTCATCTAAAGTCCCAAACACAATCAAAAACTGTAAACCACAGCATCAGAAGCATCTGAGTAAAGCATCAGGAATAAATTACAATCTATAAGCAAAGGCTGTCCTAGGCTTGGTACTTGCAAACAAATCACTTTCTGGAATAGGGTGACATTAGAAATGCAATCCAACAGAGATTTCTTGGGATACATCCTGTGTATGGCACCTTAACAGAAATAGTCATGTCCATACTCACAGTAGCACTCTTTTCTAATAAAAGAGAAATAATATTTCCAGTAGCTACCTGCAGGTCTTTCAGCTTATCCTTCAGACAAGCAGTCCTCCATTCCTTTTCGTTAGAGAAGTCAGAAGTAATCCTGAATTTGTTGTTCTGTAGATGTCGTTCAAGAATCTCTTTGTGTGTATCATACCTGAAAAAATTGGATGCAAATGTGAATTTTAAAAATAAGACAAAAAATATCTTTAAATTATTGTCAATTGTACGTGATGAAATCCCAGGGAACTTCTGTTTAAATTACTAGACCAGCCGGGCGTGGTGGTGCACGCCTGTAATCCCAGCACTCGAGAGGCTGAACCAAGAGAACTGTTGTGAGTTCGAGACCAGCCTGGGCTACAAAGTGAGCTCAAGGCCAGCCTGAACTGCATAGTGAGACCCTGTCTCAAAAAAAAAGTAAATTACTAGACCCATGCACCAAAATTATAACTTATAATTTATAAAGGATATCAAAATTCTAAAGGATAAAACTTTTTATAAAGCATAACATGTTCCCAAAGGTAAAGGATTTCCGTTGGATTTTCCAGCTGTTTAAAAAGAGGTTACCTCTCTTGTAACTTATTTATAGGTGCACTATCTTCCTTTCCATCCTTTCCCATAATGCTTTCTTCTCGCTGGGGCTTTAACTCTGAGGCCGGGCTGAAATTCTTAATGGGTTCCATGGCCTACGCAAATATGCAAGAAAATAAACATAATCATAAACAACTTGTCTGGAAGAGCTATATGCTTTACACTTATAGATATATTGTTGATTCTTTCTGCTCCAAACCAAGAGATGATATGATTTCTTTGCAACTTCTCAGCTCAGAGAAAAGCCTGCCCGCAGGACAGAGGAGATTTACCACAGCGGGTCTCACCTTCTAATGGGTAAAGGAACACCGCCTGCCGCTAAATGCTATCGCTGTGTGAGATCTCCTGGCCACAGGCACACGCGGACAGACACTACCATGCAGGAGCAGGAGCAGACCCCCAAAAACAAATGTACCCCATCGCTCCCCTGCATGTGCTGTCTGGTGCTCTAGGCCGTGACACGCACTAAGTGCCAATCTGACTTCAAGAATTTAGAAAATTCACCTCTCAAAGGCAGTAAAATACATGAGAGCAAGAAGACAAATGATCAGTGAACTAGTTCATCTCAAAGAAAGAGGCACTTGTGCAGCCTGTGCTAGCCTCTCCCGCCCTCAGTAGCAGTGGCCATAGAAAACCTGTCTTCGTGACGGTCCAGGGTGGTCTCTGCATGGCACACCTGCATCCTCAGAACAAGATTAAGTTATAATCACGACAGCTTTGGTTCAGCGCATTCTAATTCCTCGAAAAATTAGTCTTCCTTGCATTTTGTTAAGTGGGATTTCTTAGCTGATGCGAACAACCAGATAATTAAAACCGATGCTTAAAACAAGTAGAAGTGGATTACTGTACGCTTGGCCTTTTACACTGAGTGTACTTTTATAATTCATTATCTACTTCCAACACCTTTTCAGCTGACGGCTGATTATCTGATTTTGCAAGTAGTGCCTCACTGTGGGAATCCTTTCCGCCATTCTCGGTTGTGGTCATGGTCCCCCTGGGAAGAAATCAAGATTGCCTGTTAAAACAGAGTGAGAACAATGGAAACTAAAAGAGAATAAAGCTTAATGCCATCTGATAGTGCAGAAGGTGTCCTCTAGCATTCCCCAAGCACAGCTCTTCTCATCAAGTACTGACTGGACTTTCGATGAACCTCCCTCAGGGGCCTGCAGGGCTGTGAGAATCTCAGAAGCATTCTTCAGCAGTCGTGCTATCTTCTGCTCATAATCTCTGAGAGCTCTCTTCACTTCCCGCTGCTTCTCCTGCGAAGCCAGCTCTTCACACAGCACCCTCAGGACACCGATGCGGTGGTCAACCTCGCTCAGGACGCCGTCCTTAGCAAAACAAGCCTAACAGAAGACAGCAGGAGACGGGCTTCAGATGGAGTCCACAACTACCCCACACACCAGATCAGAAACTCATCGGTAAGTGCGACTCTAGCAATACATTCTTTTATAGTCCATTAGTGCGGTCTTGGTGTGATAAAAAGGACTGTGGAAAAGTAGAGGAATCAGCCCTAAAGGAATTCACATCTCAGGAATACAGACAGGCAAACAATTAGCATGTAGTATGAAAAGTATTGAGAGAGCTGCTACTTGCCTTAAAGAGTCAAGAAAAGCCTATGTCACAGGAAGGTACTATCTGTGCTAGGTGCGGAAGGAACAAGGACACGTTCTGAGAGGAAGACAGAAGAGATAGGACAGGTGTCTCCCAGGTCAGCCTCTGCAGGAACTGGTAGCCTGCTTAAGAGTTCAGAGTTGTTCTGGGTATCATAGGGAACACGTGGCATAAGATTTGTGGTTCAAAAGGCTAATCTCTTTTTTTTTTTTTTTTTTTTTTTTTTTGAGACAGGGTCTCACTATGCAGTTCAGGCTGGTCTTGAGCTCACTTTGTAGCCCAGGCTGGTCTCGAACTCTCAATGATCCTCCTGCCTCAGCCTCCTGAGCGCTGGGATTACGGGTGTGCACCAACATGCCTGGCCAAAAGGCTAATTCTAACCCAATCAAAACATGTACAGCCAAAACAGACATTTCTCAGAAGAAGTACAGATGGTCAGTAAGTACATGAAAAAAAGTTCAACACCACCAGCCACAAGCAAAATACAAATTAAAACAACACTGAGATTCCATCCTACTCCAGAAAGAATGGCTATCATCAGGAACTCAACTAACAAATGCTGGGAGAGGAGAATGACACCCTGAGGTAACAGAAGAAAAACAGAAAATCTATGCAGAACTCTAAAAAGGGTTCTCTTCCCAACCTGTGTGAAAAAGCCTGCCACTGAGAACCACAGCAGTGGACATTTAAAAAGAAAGGAAAAGAGGGGTCAGCCCTATCAAATGTATAAAAGCAACCAAACAGAAGAGAGGCCAAAAGAGATGATTACATCTGCCCCAAGCTGCTTTCTACCCTGATCTGCTCATTTTCACAAAAGCTGCCTTTCTGAGGACACCACGCCCCGACAGAAGCGTCCGCGGATACTGCAGCAACAGGCGACAGCACTGTGACCAGCGTCTCAGGATGCGGGGCCCAGAAATGTAGTAAGGGGAGCTCATGAAACAGTAACTCTCTGCTGAATCTCCTCACTGCTAAAGTAAGACGCACAGGGGCTGGGGAGTTAGCTCAGCGGCAAAAAGCGCCTGCCTGGCAAGCACAAGATCGTGAGTTCGGTTCCCGGTACCGGAGAAAAACCAAAAACCAAAAAAAAAAAATAATAATAAAGTAAGACACACAGGGACAGGGACGGTCTGGGCCACCTCAATGACAATCCTCAGGGTCATGCAGGTTGAAGCCGTTTTCAGAGCTGACTTCATCCTACACTAAGGACAGGCACTGTGATTTAGGATGGACTGCAACACAGTGACAAAATTTCAGTGGAAACCGTTCCTTTTACCTCATGTTCTCTGATGAGACCTTTGCTCTTTCCTCTACGAATAAGTTTCTTTTCTTTATTTATTTGCTTTTCAAGTTTTGAAATAATGTCATTAAGTTTTCCTCTTTCGATGTCTATTTTTAGTTGTTGAATATACAAAGAAATTTCACGATGAAGAGACTGGAAGAAAAGGAACATATTAATCATGGAACAGAATATACTGAAAACCACTTGTAAAAACAACTCAAATATGTGTAGTAACAAAGAGGACAGACTAGAGCTTAAATAATATTTGATTCATCCATGTATCTTTGGAGAGAATGTTTTAAAAATCCCAGCCAGACCCATTAACATTTTTTTTCTTTTAGTTTCTAACTAAAAAAATGTGGTTTTGCTATGAAAGGCACTGTTAAGAATATGAAAGACAAGCTACAGACTTGGAAAAGGCATGTATCTGAGGCTAAGAAGACACAAAAATAAACACAATGTGTATCCTGGATGGGTTCCTGGAACAGAAGGAGGGAAAGCTTCGGGATATGAATAAAGCACAAACTTCTGTTAATCAAAATGTATCAATGCAGGGCATGATGGTGCAGGCTTGGAATCCCTATTTGGGAGGCTAAAAAAAGAGGATGGCAAATTCAAGGCCAGTCTGTGCAACTTGGAAAGAGCTAATCTCAAAAAAATAAAAAGGGCTGTCGATGTAGCTCAGTGGTAGAGCACTTACCTTGCCTATATAGGCCCTGGTTCAATCCCCAGTACCACCAAGGAAAAAACAAAACCCATACTGGCCCGAAGTACCATACTTATGTAAGGTGTTAATGCTAGTAGGACCTCAGCCTGGGGTGGACTGGAACTCTCTGAACCACCATCCCAATAATTCTTTCAATCTAAAACTGTTTTAAAATGTAAAAATTTTGGCAGGCATGGTGGCACACGCCTGTACTCCTAGCACTTGGGAGGCTGAGGCAGGAGGACTGTTGCGAGTTTGAGGCCAGCCTGGGGCTACAAAGTGAGCTTAAGGCAACCTGAACTGCACACTGAGACCCTGTCTCAAAAAAGCAAATAAAATAAAATAAAATGTTAAATTTTAGAAAGAAAAAGAAAAAAGGAGGGGCTGGGGATTTAGCTCAGCGGCAAAAGCGCCTGCCTGGCAAGCGCAAGGTCGTGAGTTCGGTTCCCAGTACCGGAGAAAAA